ACATTGATGAGGCCTCATCTGGGGTACTGTTTCCAGTTTTGGGCTCCACACTAGAAGAAGGATGTGGAAGAATAGGAAAGAGCCCAGGGGAGGGCAACAATTTCTTGTCGGCTCTTCGGTGGCTGAGGAATGGCCCGATCTACATGCCGGACTCATGCACCCTGGATTCCCGGGCTCCTGGTCGGTCCTTCCTTTTGCTTCCACGACAGCAGCAAGGTCTCCTGGGAGAGAGAGATTCTGGGGTAGTTATGTGGCTGGCAGTCTAGATAGCTAGCTAGCTAGATAAGTGTATGGGGATGAATAGATGCATAGACAGGTGGGTAGGTACATAGTTGGGTGGGTGAGGGGGTGGGTGGATAGACGGTAGATAGGTGTGTATGTAGGTGGGTAGATTGGTGGATAGGTATATGGGTAGGTGGGTAGATGGGTGTGTGGGTAGGTTGGTGGGTGGGTCGGTAGCTGAATTACCATCTGTAATAGAGCAGGGTGAGGTAATAGGTCAGGAAAAATCCAGTTGCCACGAAGACGAGTTTGCAGCTGATTTCAATAAAAGCCCGAGTGAGGCCACCTGTGGGAGCCGGAAGAAACCAAGAGTCTGGGATAGATCCCTTAAACTCCTGCCCCGAGCCAGCCAGCCCCTGCCCTGGGGCTGGGTTTGAGCCAGTGCCCCCTAGAGGGGAAATTTCCCAGCCCCTGAGCCACCCAGCCCCACCCTGGGATTGTAGCTGGCGTTCTCTGAGGGGAAAGGTCCTGTGGCCAAATCCCCGCCGCCCCTAAGCCAGCCAATCCCCACCCTGGGGCCAGATCAGAGCTCGCATCCCCTACAGGGGAGGGGCTCTCACCTGTTTCTGGTGGGCTCAGCAGTACAGTATACATCCTGTGGGTGTTGAAGCCGAGGCAGAAGATCTGGGGGTCCCCGTCCCCGCTCCCCATCCAGGTCAGGGTGCTGACGGCCTCATCCCCCTGGGCCCAGGAGCTGACCTGCAAGGCCCCCCGTGAGCCGTTCCCAGCCAGGGGCTCCCCGTCCACCTGCCACTGGAGCCAGGGCGGGGAGCGGGAGCGCAAAGAGCAGCTACAGCTGATGTTGGGCCCCTCACGCTGGCAGGATCCATTCAACCCAGTCCGCAGCTCAGGTCTGTCTGAGGAGCGCAGGAGACACAACAACAAATTAAATAGTCAGAGAGGGCAACCCAGTGGCAGGGAGTCCCACAGGTTAACCGTACTAATACTCAGGGGCTGGTAGTCCCAAAAATTAACCTGCTAATATCCAGTGGCAGGGAGTCCCATGGGTTCTTCTGCCTTCGGGTGTCTCTTTGGCTGGCCCCAGGCAATGATCCGGCCCCATCCTCAGCCAGCTGCACTTCACACCAACCCACCTGCTTTTCCACCCTCAGTCTGGGCGCTCACCGCCCTTGTAGACAGCCCAGGAGTCCGTTCAAGCCTCAGCTGCCCCCCTTGGGGCTGCCCTCAAAGCAGCTAATTAACTATGGCACAGGAGGGGTTGGCTCTGTCTCCGTTTACAGGGGCTGGGCACCCTTTGACACCTGCTAGAACTCAGTGGCGAGGAGTCCCACGGATTAACACCGCTGCTTTCCAGTGTCAGCGTCCCAGGGGTTAACCGCACTCACACACAGTGGCAGGGAGTCCCACAGGTGAACCCCACTCACGTTTGCAGAGCAGCTTGAACTTCCCAGGGACATTCCACCATAGACTCTTGTCCCACTCCCTGCAGCACAGGGTCACCTATGGACACCCTGCCCTACACCCTGCAGAACACTATGCCCCACTGAGTCCCCACCCTGCTCCCTGTGGCACGGCCCCCCCTAGAGCCTTACACTGCACGTGCACATGCAGAGCCCGGCTGGCCAACCCGTAGGAATTCTTGGCCCAGCACCAATACTCCCCAGCGTCCCCTCTGCTGAGATTCAACAGCTCCAGGTGCCCAGCCCCTCCCTGGCCAGGGCTCAGGGACCCGTTTGTCCAGGCCCAGCTCAGGGTGGCCTCGGTTCTGCTCCCAGCCTCACAGCTCAGGGTCAGGGAGTCGCCCTCCTGGGTCTCCAGAGACACAACATCACCCTCAGCTCCCGACACTTCCAGCACTGGAAGACATGAGTGGGCAGGTTGGCTTCCCCCAGAGATCCCATAACAAGGTGCCAAGCTGCAGCCACCTCTGAGGTGGGGTGTTGGGGCTCGTTATACAGGGACCCGTTACCCGGCATGGAAACGTTCACAATTCTGGAGTGGCTGCAGCAGGTCTCCATGGCAGAGATCTGTCCCTAACCCATCTACTCCCTGCAGCCCGGCGCCTGCTACTATCACCCTGGAGTCTGGAGACAGAGGGAACCGGGCCCGCTCCCCCCACTACCCTCTCTACAGTCCTATGGCTTCCTTGGGCTCTCCCTTCCAGGCATGGATCAGTCTGGCCTGTTTGAGCCTTGTGCCTGGCCCTGAGCACGGGCAGAGCGTGACTAGGAGGCGCTTGCTGATTCCCGGGGCTTGCAGTGCGGCCTCTCACCGGGGCATCCATTCCTGGTCAGGGTCCCAGTGATGCTGAGGGGCACAGGTGGGTCTGTAACACAAACCATACAGGGGGAATCAGGGAGGCTGGACAGCACCAGGGGGGTCACTAGACATGGCCCCTCGCTGTGAGCTCAGCTGGGGAATGGGAAAGTCCCTGGAGTGACAGAAGACCCGTGGGCGGGGAAGGGAAGTGACAGACCAGACTGAGCCCCACCCAAGAGGTGCCCAAAGGAACCCAGGGGCCGGGTTAGGGCCGCGCCGGGGAACAAGAACCGTGGGAAATGGAAACCCAAGGGACCAAAACCACTTGGTCAAAATGCGGCCTAATTGGCAGAGGCACTAATGAGGGGCCAGGATGCTCCAGCCTGGGTACTGGGGTGACTGTCAGCATCTCAGTGCCAGAGTCTACCGGGCGCCCAGGAATTCAGTGTCCTGCTCCCCAAACATGTCTTCCCCAGAGCAGGACAGAGCCAGGGGTTTAAATAACCCCACTCCAGACACAGCCACCACCAGGGACATCAGAAACCCCCGTCATGGGTCCTTTGCCTTCCCCCCTCAGTTCATCTCTCCCCAGCCCTCTCCTTTTGCCTCCTGGCTTGGCTGGCCAGGGCTAGCTGTTTTCCTGCCCTGCTGCGACAAGAGGGGCATCTGAAATAAACACCCAGAACAGCCGGATGCTGACACTGGCTGGCCAGGCCTAGCATGGTCCGTCCACACTGCCATCAAAGCCCCGCGGCGCCCAGGCTCAGAGTCTGGGTCCGTTGGGTCAGGCTCATGGGACTCAGGCTGCAGGTCTTTTCAGCACGGACGTGTCCTCTGAGGCCTGTGTAGACATTCAGGGTCAGGCTGGGGCCTGGGCTCAGAAATGGGGGGCAGGGGAGGGGGCGGTGTCCTTCTAAATCTCCCTCCGGCTGAAGGGAACAAGGGCCATCCTTACCGTGAAGCCTGATTGCATCCTTCACCTCGCAAAGGCGACCACTGATTTCCCCTCTGCCCTGGATCTGCAGTGCGAGGGTCACAGAACATTTAATGGGGGTTTGCCCTGGGGCAGGGCGGGCCGAGGTCTCTGGGCCCCGAGTCCGGAGCGTGTTTAGTGCCGGACAGTGTCTAGGTCCCATT